TATATATATATATATATATATATATATATATAAATTATAAAATAGGAGAAAAGGACTTATATTCAATTAGAATTATAAATATCATAGTTTAAAAGAGAATATAATCTATTACAGATTTTTATAGATTTATTTCTATTTGTCTTAACAAATATTTCATTTATATTTTTCAGTTTTTTTCAAAAATGATCACAAAATCGATACCCGAATGGTTTGCCAATAGAAACATTCTCGTCACTGGAAGTACTGGATTTATGGGAAAAGTTCTAGTCGCCAAATTATTACTAAGTTGCCCTGATATTGGAGATATCTTTTTATTAATTAGAAAAAAGAAATGCTTTGACTCGCATGCAAGGTTGCAGCTCTTACTGCAGGTATGTAACAAGCAAATAACAAGCAACAAATTAATAGAAATGAGACAATATCTCAAAACATTAGAGAAAATAATGTTGTTAAAATTTTGATTTTTTTAAGACGCCAGATTAGCTATATTAGAGGCAAAAATTGACATGCAATAAATTACTAGATAGTTCATGGGACATAAGTCCTCTATTGGATTGCAAGTAATTAATTACTTTTTAAATTAAATTATTGTATATGTTTAATTATCTCCGCTTGAATCAATCGAAAAATTTTAATTAAATTTGCTTAAATCAATCGTCAATTGGATGTTCAATTAAATTCGCTTATTTTAATTGTCAATTAAACAATTTTTGATTATTTTTGTTGTTTTTAATTATTAATTATAAAAATTTTAATTGATAATATGAACAACCTTGGTCTCCTATTTTCAGGATTTTGCGTGGTCTTATTACGTGATTCTGAACAATCTTAAACCATTATATTGAGCACATGCTACAATCTATATGTTAAAAATTAAATATAGTTACTAAAAAACATAGTTACTAAAATCACAATAATTTTTCGTGCTTTGATAAATGCGAAATTATCAATTATTACATAATAATGTATAATATAATATTTTTATGTATATTTCATTTTCAATTGAAAGAATTCCTTTATTTAGTGATAATCTTAAATAATTTTTTATTAACTTTAATTTACTAAGACTTCTTTCACGTGAAGCTATTTTATCGGAATAGTTAAAAATATTCTTGCTGCTGTACTTCTAAGTTTGAATATATTAAGTGTACAACTTTGCTTCCGCCGTTTTCCTATAGATGGCTTTAGCGGTAAGTGGTGGTCGAAATAAATAGATCATAGACGTCATACAATAAACTTGGGCATCTGTCAACATAACTCCATAGAAACATTAGTCGATTTGTGTCTGCATCATAAAGTTATTCTCGATTGAAAATGTCAATTTACGAGCCAAATTCTCGTCATTTGCGGGAGGTTTTAATTTTTTGCTTCAATATGAAGAAATCTGCGGCTGAGGCTCATCGAATGCTCTCAAATACTTATGGTGAGGCCGCTATTAATGAAAGAACGTGTCGTGAGTGGTTTCAACGCTTCAAGAACGGTGATTTTGTCCAAGATCATACTCTGGTGGGACCAGCTCGGCGTAGTGTATTATGAACTGTTAAAACCGACTGAAACAATCACAGGCGATCGGTATCGAACGCAATTGATGCGTTTGAGCCGAGCATTGAAAGACAAACGGCCGCAATACAACGAGAGACATGATAAAGTGATTTTGCAGCATGACAATGCTCGACCCCATGTTGCGAAAGTGGTCAAGACATACTTGGAAACGTTGAAATGGGAAGTCCTACCCCACCCGCCGTATTCTCCAGACGTTGCTCCCTCTGACTATCACTTGTTTCGATCAATGGCACACGACCTGGCTGACCAGCACTTCCGGTCTTATGAAGAAGTAAAAAATTGGATCGATTCGTGGATAGCCTCAAAAGATGATCAGTTTTTTCGAGGGGGATTCGTACGCTACCCGAAAGATGGGGGAAAGTAGTGGCCAGCGATGGACTTTGAATCATAAATATATAACCAGTTTTTACAATAAAGCCTCGAATTTCGGAAAAAAAACGGCGGAAGCAAAGTTGTACACCTAATATATACTGATTAAAGAATAATCATGAATTAGTTTTAAAACATCTAAAATAGAAATTCTCTATATTTGTAGTATCAAATAGACCATAAACCAAAATCATTATTACGTAGTAATAATGAATAAGGAATCAAAAAATATGTAAGAAATTATATTGCCGGCTATTTTTGCGCCCCTTTGAACTTTTTGCATGAGGCAAGTGCCTTGCTTGCCACATCCTTGTCCCGACGTTGTCCTACATCAGAGTAGATTCAAAAAGTATTACATAATTACCTAGTAATGAATCGCTTCCATTGTCAATTCAATTATTGCTTAACACCATTTTGCATACTTTCAATTAATTTTTCAGCATATTCACTTGTAGGTAACTTCATAGCCTTTTGATTCTACACAATTACTTAAGGTTTCATCTCTTTTAGTTTGAATTTCATGTAAGATCATACATTCTCACTGGGATTCTGGAGATAATGCAGGCCAATCCATTGTGCACAAAGATGATTCCGATTTTTAGGATCATTGTCTTTCTGAAGCTCCTAATTGTTTTTATTTTTCCTATAAAATTTCTCAGCAGATGTCAACAAATATTTTTGATAAACATTAGGGATGCACCGTAAAATTATCGCATACAGAATGTGACATCGGATGTCCGATATTTTTTTAGAATTTTGGGAAGAATGTATTGGATATCCGAAAAATATCTGGATATCAATATAAACAAAGAAACCTTAATATATACATATATATTATTTACGTACGTATATATTATTTATTGTTCAAACGTCAATGTATAAAAATTGTGATCAAAATTACGAAAATTATAAAAATTAATTATAAAAATAATTATAAAAATTAATATTTTCAATAATCTCTTGCAAACGGTCGATGACGATGCAAGCGTTTCTAACCATTACTATGCAATAGGTAGCGTCACTACAGACTTTTGTCTCTGTCTATAACTATACATATAAACATACATTTTGTTTTTTTAATTAGGTGTTAGCCCGAATCTTCATATAAACATCAATACTTTGACACTAAACATTAATTGATGAAAAACGTTAGGAAAATAAAATTTACTCTTGTCACCTATTTTTTACCAATCATGTTCTATATCAAAGCGGTGTCTGTGTGAGGATCCGGACTTACTATTTACCCCTGTCATTCATAATTTCAATCTCCTATGAAATGAATCTCTTATTCAAAATCCGAGAAATTTATCGATATTTTACCATGATGCATCTTTGATAACAGCGCAGAATATTTATGATAAATATTTATTACTATTCTTTTTTAAATGTTATATAAATATTTGATACATATTTTATATAATGCTTTATGCGAAATGCTTTATTATACTATAATAGATAAAATATTTTATGATAAATATAAATAAATATTTATAATAAGTATTTACTAATTGGATTCTAATATTTTATTAAGTACTTCCATAGCTTTACTATACATCTATAATAAATATTTCATAATATTTATAACCTGTGCAAATATTTATGATTTGTGCAATCTAAGATCACAAGAATAATTACAAAATGTTTAAAATAAGTTTTATAAATATTTTATAAATATTGTGTATAATATTGTTTGGAAAGGTATTTATAACAGGAGATTTAAAAAAATAGTCTTCCAAACAAATACATATTATGTAAATACTCTCCGAGAAAAGAAATAAATATTCGATTTGAAGTGTTTCTTATGTAAGCGCATAGTATGTAAATAAAATCTGTCTGTACGATGTTAGGATCAGGGGAGAGAAAGAGAAAATTATCGAGGTATAAGAAAACATCTCGGCGCAAATATATGTCTAATGCCTAAGATGAATAATTAAACGGGCTGCGATCTCTTCGGGCACATGCACATTTATCGCGTTAGAATAGCTTCGGCTATTCTAATGAGAAAGGTGAGGCAAACACGGATACGTAACACACATTTTCTGATCACATCATCATGATTATTCTCGTGAAAGAGATTTATTATAATTCTAATGACTCTCTTCGCAGATTTTAGCTTTCGTAAGCTACTTATCGTCTTTTTAATGGCGATTTAAAATGTTCAGCGATTGCGACATGCTGCCCGCCGCAAACGTTAAACGTAATCGCTTCTCTAAACTTTAATGGATCCGTCGATTACGTAGAATATAACGAAAGGTATTTATGTTACCAGCTTACATGTGGTAATCGAGGAATGTTACTGCACAGCACATAATGTAAACGTGTCAACTTCTTGTGAGCTGTGAAACAGCGAATATGCTTTGATCCTGAAGATCTTAGTTGTTATTACATGTATTTCTTTATCCTTCGCAAAGATAAGATACAATGTACACAAGATTTTTCTAGTTCCTTCTCCCTTAGATTTCTATAAAATTAATCTGAACAGAACGGAAATCGAAGAAATATTGAGCGATACGTAATTATACTACAGTGTGGCGCAAAAAAAATTATACCACTTATTTTATATACAACACATTTATTTTTAAATAATATTTAAATAAAATTGGTACGGAACTGATATAAAGACAATTATCTTAAAGTTTGGAAAATTGTCGCTAGTAGATAATGTATTCAATATGACTATTGCTTTACCTCTTACATGCATGCCCTTTGATCATTTTTCGACATAAATTTTCAAATAACGTACGGCATGTATACGCTATAAACGAGAACATCTCCGAATCTCCGACACATTATATATATATTTTTTATATATATATACATATATATGTATATATTGTGTGTGTCATTGTGTGTGTATGTGTGTGTGTGTGTGTGTGTGTGCGCGCGCACATCTCCAATTCCGATTCGCGATGCTACATCTAACGGAATTCCCACAAAGTACAAAACTTACTTATACAATTGCAAAACCATTATTCCACAAGTATAGTTTCAATGAGATAATTAAATATTTCGTATACTCTATATGTAAAAGAAAAGGTGATATAATGACTTGTGTAGACATAATAATCTTTCTTAATATCTCCGTTATTAAATAGTGAATTCTAGTGATTACTCATAGAATTTTTTGTTCAATAACTTACTATTACACCATGATGCTAATATATCAATACATAATAGTCAGCACTTATGCATTTTTACTTTCAAGCATATTTCGAAATGTTTTTAAGGTTAATATTTTTTAGTACATTTATACATATACTTCGTTTTTCTTAAACTTGAGTGTGTTATCACACGAATATATGTAGATTTGAATATATTGTTTTTATTGTTTGTATTTAACATTTTATTTGTTTATATATATAAAGTTTTGAGCTGTGCAAAGTAAAACAATAGCATGGCATTTTGTTAATATGGCTCCTTAATGTGCTAATTGTTAACAACCTTTTTTTCAAGATTTTCACATCAAATTAAACTATTAAATTAACTATTCCATAAATCGATTGTAGCTCTACTATTAATCTATAGTTTAAGTTATATCTTCACACTTCAATTTCTTAAGGAATTCAAATAGATAGAAATGTAATCATTGAATCCAAAATTTTTATTTTTCAGATACTGGATTAATTGTAATTTCCCACTCAATATATGTATATTACAGTTACATTGTAAGTGAGAAATTACAACTACATATACGTTACATATAATTTGGTGTGTGTGTGTGTGTGTGCGTGTGTGTATGTGTGTGTGTGTGTGTGTGTGTGTGCATTTTTGCTGAATCTCCTCCTCTATCAAATATAAATCAAGTATGAATTGAAATAAATCATCACCTCAACATCGATCGTAAGAAATTGTCAAATTATTTTGTCATCTTTCAAGTTACCGTCATTGAAATGTAAAGAAGAGAGTTTGGTAAGAACACTCGTATCCTTGAATCATGCGAAATCGTTTTTGACATTTCTCATTCGAATCCTTTTTGCTTTATGTTAAAAAAATTTAAACAATAGTACTTTGAATTCTATGATGTTAGGACAATAATTGTGTATGTGTTTAATTACCAAAATGAAAATTAAATTAATCTCAAGACCACTCCATTAATTCAATCAATTATGAATAGATATGATACCTATTCATAATTGATTGATTACAGCTTGTTCATACTTAACAGTCCATACTAACAGTTATTGAATTAATCGAACATAATTTATCGTGAAGCATAACTCAAACAAATGAAAAAATTTCATTCATTGAATGTAAATTGTATTTGCAGCAAGAGCCATTTAGAATTCTTAGAGAACAGTACCCGGAACGTCTGATGAAATTGATAGTTATACATAGTGATATAACTGTCGAAGGAATGGCTCTATCTATTGCGGATAAGGAACGCCTCATGAATGTTTCCGTTGTCTTTCACATGGCCGCTAATGTCAGGTTCGACATGTCATTGAAAACAGCCATCAGGATGAACACCATAAGCACTGCAAACGTCGTAACGTTAGCAAAACAGGTAAGAATATCTGCTATACTGATCAAGGATGAAGAGTGATGCAAACAATATGGATTTATATATCAATTTTATTATATGCACATTAGTTCGATTTTATAATGATCGAAATAGAAATTTATTGATATAAACACAAATATAAACCACATACAAACATAAAATTTTATGATCACATCGACATTGTTGTATTGATATTATTATACACATAATAATTATTATTAGATATATAATTAACATTATACTATTTTCGACTATTACAATTACAATTATTACATACTATTATTACATACTATTATTACACAATATTAATTAAATATTAAGTAACATATACACCGTTTATAAAGTCGAGAATATTTGTAATATTCCTATATCACGAAAACTTGAAGAGTCTCGGTGAACAAAAATCGTAGCAAAATTTTTAAGAATGTATTTTAAAGAGGAAATACAGATTTAATTCAAATTTAAAAACTCTTATCTTTGCAATATTTTGTTTCTGAGAATTACGTAAAATTGAATATTGATATTTTAAAAATATTTTTGTTAGTTTTGAAGCGCAATATTTAGATGAAGCATCATCAGACAAAATTTAACAAATAAGCATTTTAAATTTAAAATAGGCTTTTTAAAATCTAAATATATTTTAATGTAATAAAGTAACGTTTATGTTCACATTTAATTTATGCGTAATTTATTCATTAATTTAAATTGTCTTTATTAACTATAATGCTCGGATATAACTTTTCCACAGAAAAAAATTGCTTCTTTTGAATTAATAAATTACGCTGTCCATTTCGTGAGTGAATTCTAAAACATTGCATACTAAAACACTGCATCGATATTTTTAATGTTCCCCTAATATAATTTTTAATTTTGCGATTTTAATAAAGTTGAAATATCAATTGTTAGTATAAAATGTACAATTATTAGCAATAAAATTATTACTATATTCTATCCCTAATATAAATCAAATTTGCAATTTAGCTGTAATGTCGTTAAAATAAATTTTAACCGTTACAGTAATTAATTTTACTGTGAAAAAATATATATGATACAAATTGACAATATATATGAAACAAATAAAATTTTATTCGATCTTAGAAAGAAGAATTTTATTTGTAATAAAATAAGACAATAGTAAACAAAATAATTTGTTTTTCAGCTGTCTTTACTCGAGGCGTTTATTTACATTTCGACATCTTTTTGTCAATGTGGCGAGTCAGTGTTGGAGGAACGCGCTTATCAAACTAAAATCTCACCAGAAAGCGTTATTCATATGGTCAATACGATGACGGATGATGCTCTGGAAGCAATGAGATTCAAATTATTGGGTGAGCAACCAAACACGTATGCCTACAGCAAGGCACTCAACGAAGATTTCGTGTCGAGATGTGGACTACCTGTAGGAATCATACGACCGTCGATAGGTAAAAAATTTCTTTCCTTAAAATTTTCAATTATTACTAAGGAAAGTGATTCTATATGTATAAGAAATAAATTGAAAATATAACAAAATATAAAAAGCAAATAACGAATTGTACATATACTATCCAGCAAACGAGAATGAATTGAAATGAATTAAAATGGATTCAGATTTTCAGAAATACGGATTCATGAATGTTAAAATGAATTCTTTTCAATTCTGATGCATCAATGCATTTTTATTCATATATAGGAATGGCATGGAGTATATATATTTCTATCAAAATGTAAGTAGAAAATCTATTGTTTCATTTAAAAATGCATTATAAATGTTATTTTATTCAAAATTATGAATAAGAAATTTTTCGTTTTAATTCAATTAAGTTAAAAAAAAGTTGTATATATAAAAATATATCATGAATTCTATTTCATTTAATAGAAATTTAAAAGAAGCATTTAAAAGAAACATAAAGAGAACTACGTAAATATGTACAATAAATGTTACATATGTAAATTCCTTATTTTTAATTAATAAATTAATCGCTTTTATGTATATTTTATATTAATACGTTTCCTTTATTATACAGCTAGCGTATATTTTTTGTATAAAAGTTTTAAAATAATGACTATAGAATTTCTACTTTAATTTATTTAATTGTGTAATTACTACTTTGTAATTACTAAATGTAATTACTACTTTAATTTATTTAAATTTTCACACGTATAAACATTTTTTTTATATGGAATCCAATTTTTTATAGATTTAAAATACGGATTCAGATGGATTGAAAATTTCCAATCCACTTCAATCCATTTTCGTTTACTGGGTAATTTTTCAGAAATCAATTTTATCAACTATTTTTACATTCAATTTTTCGAAAGAAATTAAGCTTCGAATGAAAAGATTTATTCTATACTTTTCATTTATTTTTTTTCTTATTGGAATTGTCTACGTCTCATTTATAGGATTAATAAAATGTTGACAATAATCTGATTTTAGTGATAGCATCTTACAAAGAGCCTGTGCCTGGATGGGTGGACAATATGAACGGCCCAACTGGATTAATGATTGGCGCGGGTAAAGGAGTGATACGATCTATGCTCTGCAACGCGAATTATATGAGTGATATGATTCCCTGCGATATGGCTATAAATGCAACGATAGCTCTGGCCTGGCAGGTCGGGACGGAGAAATCTACCAATCCGATATTTTTAAACGCCACAGCGAATCAAAAGAATCCGATTTCTTGGGGAGATGCTTTAGAACTTGGGAAGAAACACGTATTCGAGAACCCCTTTTCTCGTAAAGAATATTACAATACTGCTCATAACTATATTACACAAAAAAAATGTAATATATATCTAACATGCAATATTCATTTTAGAACCGCTATGGTATCCCGGTGGAAGAATGACTTCCTCCAAAGTTTTACATTGGCTTGCCGTCATATTCTTTCAAATTATACCCGCCTATCTATTAGACAGTCTACTTATTGTGACTGGAAATAAACCCTTTCTGGTGCGAGTACAAATTAGAGTAAATGCCGGATTAGATTTGCTTCAATATTACACTATGAAACAGTGGATTTTTCGGTAAAAAATTGAATTTCTTTTTTATAATAACGTATTAATTTGATTTGAAACTAATTAATAATCTATATTTTATTTATCTTTTGATATGTGAATTTAATTACAGCAATGACAATCTGCGCGATTTGCAGCATCGATTATGTCCATCTGATAAAGAGATATTTTTCATGGACACGAAAGTTATCCATTGGAACGAATATATATTAAAGTACATTTTAGGTACGAGGCAATATTGCCTAAAGGACGATCCTTCGACATTGCCACGAGCGAGACGAGTCTTTACATATTTATATTTCGCTGATTGTTTGCTAAAATTAATATTTGGAATTTTCCTTGTTTGGATAATGTATACCTGGACGATTTCCGCTAAGCCTCTCGTAGCGATGTTAATTCAGCCAAGTAAATAAGTGTGTAGAGATTTGTTTAACTCTTTACAGTATGGAGATTAATTATGTAACTTCTTTCTTAAAATAAAAACATAAAAGTAACAAATTTTTGTATGTGTGTGTGTACACACACACACACACACACACACACACACACACACACAATATAAAAATTTTTACTTTTCAGGTTTCCTCTGAAGAAAATATTACATGATTGATACTCTGAACTTGACATAATATATTGTGGCATCTTGTACAATTCTTCAAACATTTAAATTTTTGTACGATTATAAACTAAATATAAAAAGTTATATTTAAGATCTTTATAAATTCTTCTAAGTAATAAAAATTCTTAGTTCATGTTAGATTAGTCCAACTTGATATTCGCTCATTTTGAGAGTAATAGTTTAAATCGCAAAAGCTTAAGACTTAAGGATTATATTTGATATGTATAATTGAATATAGTATTATGGTAAAAAAAATTAATTTTTTTCTGTCTTTCGATATTTATATTACAAAAATGTTCCTGGAGAAAAAATTCTCACTCTCCTAATATTTCTAAAAATTTCTCATATTTTAAATTTATAAAAATTTCTGAAAAAATACTTTAAATCTTTTTAAATTTTATAAATTTTCTTCAATACATTTAAATGAGAAATCTTGGAATATTTCAGACCCAATTAGCAAGATCTTAATGACATCTTAATGATTTTTAAAAGTGTCATTAAAATATTCCAATTCGTACAGAAAATCTGAGAAGTTTTCTAAAACTTATATAGAAATATAGATGTAAAAAATTCTGACGTTTATTCATATAAACTTTCTATATAAAATAGCTGTGAACATTTTTTGTTTGAAAAATGATCCATGGAGTTAGTATCTTTCTGCACATTTATGTCTAGTTGATTTTATCTTATGTTGATAATGTATGTTACATGAAAACGACATCGATCTATATACAATTCATGTAAGATTTATCGACAAAGAAATGTGCCAACATTTGAAACTTTATTATATTTTATTATACCCTAATGTTAATATCAGTGAGAAATGATCATCAATTTAACTTCGAATCAAATTGATGATTTCGACATTGATTTGACATCGATTCGATATCGAATTAACATTTCTCACTGAATATAAATATCTTAATGCAATAATAATAATAGTAATAATAACTCGCGATTATAGAATACTTTAATAAAGAAATCTTAATGACTAATATTTTATATTAATCTTAATGATCCTTAAGTTTGCATTTTGATATGTCTTAATGCAAATTTATCGAAATATTTTGAAACAAATACCTCAATAAGTGACTAACATTCGAAATGTAATAATGAATTCAGCTTTGTTGTGTTTTAAATAAGCGTAACAGGCTTTTGATATTTTGATTTTAAAAAAATATATATATATCCCAGGTAGCACATAATGTTTACAAAATATTTATAAAAAAATATTTGTCAAAATATTTTTCAAATATTTTTGTAATCTTCTCTGTAATTAGTTTATATTTTAGTAATACTTCTAATAAATCTTATATAAAATATGTATAAAACATTTATTATATTATTATTAAAAAAATAAATAGTAATTAAAAAAATAAATAGTAATAAATATTTATGATTACTTATCATAAATATTTTGTACTATCTGGGATACGCATACGTAACACACAAGTACATATGCATTTTATAATTAAATTGATTCTTAAGTTATTTTTCAATTACATTGCAGATAATTGAAATAATTAAAATGTAATAAGATTTTATAAAGGCAACAAGGTAACGCTCAACAGAAGCTATTGTCGTTGTCACGATAGACAGTTAAGTCTGTCAAGAAGTTCTGCAAAATGTTTGCTACAAATTTTGTCATCAAAACTATGGATTTTATGTGATATAGGAGAGAACTGGCGTAATATAATCTCAAATAGCAAAGTGACATCTATATTTTGGTTATTATCTTTTAATTAAAAGTCATTCTATTACTTGAGATGTTATTGGCAGAATATTGGCAAAATGTTGAAAGAAATACTGTCAATAAAATATGATAATATGCAAAATGATGTCAGAAATCTAGTAATTTTTTACATACTCTTGTACAGTTCAACACAGATTAGCGGTAGAAATAGAATAAGTCTATCTGTTGTCAACCAATAATCTTTATTCTGTAACTCTCAATGATAGTGTCATTTTATACGTATTAAAAAAGCTGCGATATGATATAAGATTCATATCGTAGCTTTTTGTTCGTTTACGCGTAACCCAGCAAACGAAAAGAGATTGAAATGGATTAAAAAGGAATTAAATTTTCAGAAACGGATTCATGATGTTAGAATGAATCCTTTTCAATCCTGAATGCATTTTTATTCATTTATAGGAATTGCATAAAGCAAATGTTTCCTCTATTTCCTTCTCAATTTTAAATGTATTTTTATTCATAGGAATTTTTATTTATAGGAATGACATGGAGTATATTTCTATGCTTTTCAATCTAAAAATAATATTATAATATTTTATATGCATCGTGAATACTGCTAAATTCAAAATTCTGAATAGGAAATGTAGTTTTTTAATCCAATTGAATAAAAAAAAGTTTTTCTTTTAATAACCTATTTTCTTAAAATAGACCATGAATACTATTCAAAATTGTGAGTAGAAAATCCAGTGTTTCATTTAAAAATATATCATAATTATTTTATTCAGAATTTATTTTATTCAGTTATTTTATTCAGAATTATGAATAAGAAATTTTTAATTCAATTGAGTAAAAAAAGTTGTATCGTAAAAATATATCATGAATTCTACTTCATTTAATACTTAAAAGAGATATAAAAAAACTATGTAAATATGTGCAATAAATGTTACATATGTAAATTCTTTATTTTTAATTATTAAATTCCCAGCAAATGAGAATGGAATAAAATGAATTGAAATTTTTTTCTCTCTGAATATGAAAAATATTTTAAATAGCGAATACTTTTTTTTAGATTTAATTGGATTCAATTAGATTCAATTAGATTAAAAAACTGCATTTCCTATTCAAAATTTTAAATTGAAGTATTCACAATGCACAGAAAAAGCTAATATTATTTTTAGATTGAAAGGCATAGAGATATGTTCCATGCAATTCTTATAAATAAATAAAAACGCATTCAGGATTGAAAAGCATTCATTTTAACATTCGTGAATCAATATTTCTGAAAATCTGAATTCATTTAATTCAGATTTCAATCCATTCTTGTTTGCTGAGTTAATCGTTATTATGTATATTTTATATTAATACGTTTTCTTTATTATACAACTAGCGTAATATTTTGTATAAAAATTTTAAAATAATAACTGTAGAATTTCATGTAATTACTACTTTAATTTATTTAAACTTTTACACGTATAAAAATTTTTTATATGGAATCCAATCGATTTTTATGGATTTAAAATACGGATTCGAATAGATTGAAAATTTCCAATCCATTTCAATCTATTTTCGTTTGCTGGGAAATATAATAATATACATCTACAAATACAATGTAAATTATGTATCTATAATATGTATCTATAATATGTAAACAATCTATGAATTATCGAAGATCGAAGATTATGTTCTTTGTCTTTAAGACGAAACTTTATATTATAGACTACTTTTAACCTGCTTACACATTTTTATTTATCAGTATTAAATCAGATATAACAATTCTAAACATTAATTATTTCAAATTAATTATTCTAGTAAATATAAAAGAATAGATTGAAAAATTTGAATTGGATTCAATATTTAGAAGTATATCTTTGCGATTTAAATAAAGTCTTTTCAATGCACTTTTATTCATTTAGGAATTGCACGAAGCATATTTCTATATGCCTTTCTATATAAAAAAATTTTAATTCTTTAAAGGCATTGTGAATACTGCTCAGTTCAAAATTTTGAATAGGAAATACAATTACATTTTCAATTCAATTGAATCTAAAAAAAAAGTAAAAATGGATTATGAATGTTACTAAAGTACATATTCGGATGAATTCAAATGGATTAAAATTCCAATTCATTTTAATCCAATCTTGTTTACTAGAATATAATAATTTATTATAAATCTAGTTTATAATAATTTACATATCTTACATTATTTATATTATAATGAAAAAGATTCATGTAAAAACTTGACGTAAACAATATATAAATATTCTATGTAAACGTAAATCCTGAAATAATAATTTTGAAAACACAACCAATTACGTTATAATATATCATTCAAAAGTGCTATGCAATTCCATGTGTGCGTGTGCGTGCGCGGCATGCGTGCGTGCGTGCGTGCGTGTGTGTGTGTGTGTGCGCGTGCGTGTGTGTGTGCGTGCATGTACAATGTCAGCCGAAAAAGAAGTTGGAATAGCCAAGGTGAAGCACTGGAAAGGCAAGCAAAGGCGGAGATCCACCAAAAGAAAATAAGGCTGTCAATGTGGTGGGACCAGTCTTCTATGAGCTACTTCCAAAGAACAAAACGATTAATTCCGATGTCTACTATGAGCAGCTGCAGAAATTAAGTGATGCCATCGCACAGAAACGTCCCGAGCTAATCAATCGTAAGGGTATGGTGTTTCACCACGAGACTACACATAAGTTCATTCGGCAAAAATTGTTGCAACATGGTTGGGATATGTTACCACATCCACCGTATAGCCCAGACCTTGCACCATCAGACTTCCATCTCTTTCGCTCCTTACAAAACTCCTTGAATGGTAAAACGTTTGCTTCTGAAGACTTCATCAAACAGCACCTAGACAAGTTTCTCGCAGAGAAGAATGGGAAGTTTTATGAACGTGGTATTATGAAGTTGTCCGTGAGACGGCAGAAGATCATCGAACAAAACGGCCAATATATCATTGATTAATGTTCATTACATATATTAAATAAACACACCTGAAAATCAAATGAAAAAAATGCAACTTTTTGAACAATCCAATAGAATCACATCGCTCATCAGATTGTTAGATTTGGTATATAGTCATTCAAAAGAAAAACGAAAAACGAAAAATTAGAGAATTATTAAAATCATTTATCTGAATTTTAATTTTATTAACTTACATGTAAACGTTTCTCGCGACTCGATGTAAAGGTCTTGTGATGTCGAG